TATATATATGTATATACATATACACACGAACCCTCTGTACTATTTTTCAACTTTTCTGTAAGTCCAAAATTACTTCCAAATAGTAAGTCTTTGAAAAGTCATCAAGAAGGAAGGGTGAGCAGCAGCAAGTACAGGGGAAAAGAGAAGCCTGCTAGAACAGTCTGCTTCCTTGACAGTCCCCGTCTTCCCCACCCTCCCTCATCCTCGCGACTTCATGGCACAGCCCGGTCCCACACGGGAGCCAGGCAGAGAAGCCTGGCAACAGGGTGCCCGGCCCCGGAGGGAAGGATGGGGGAGTGACTGAGGGAAGGGAAGGCAGCACCTGGAATTGTTCACGTGCAAAAACGTGCTTCCTTAGCGCCCCCCCCCCCCCCCCCCCCCCCCCCCCCCCCCCCCACCTCACCACCCCCTCCAGCCCAAGAGCTTCCCTCTGGCACGTCGGACACGGCCTCATCACACCTAGGACAGTTGTGAAAAGGAAGCGGGCCGCACGGCCGCAGGGGCATGAGAAGAGGCTTTGTGTGATACCAGAAGAGAGAGTATGAACTTGTTAGAGTAAAACAGGCAGGCTTCCAGAAGGGAGGAACATACTCCCGAGCCTCCTCCAGCTGCACCGGCACCTGCTCGGTTGAACGCAGGAGCGGGAGAGCTGTCAGGGCTCGACCCCCGTGACCACCAGGTGGCAGTAAAGACCGATTAGAGGGGTGGCCCCAGGCACTGGGGTTAACTCCATTAACTCTGGAGTTAAACCCTTAACACCTACAAAGACGTAATTCTTCGCCTCTCTGGCTTTGAAAGCAATGTGCTTAGGGCACAGTGATAGTTCTGAGCTGATGAAACTGGCCGCTCATTCCGCGCACATCTCTATACCCTGCAGCGCCCTGGCTCCATCGTTCTCGTTGGCAAACGGGCGACAGCTCAGGCACACAGGCGGTATTTTCGAGAACACCCAGCGCAGCGTGATAAACTGGGGAATAACCAGATGACCACTCGATACACGCCATACTCACTCGCTAAAACGTGGGCTCTGGTCTCAGCAAATTAGAAACTGTAATCATTTCCTGGAGTTCAAACAGCCCCTGTCAAGTCTTGACAAAAGAACAGGACGGAGTGTGAACGGAGGCTCTTCGGTGCAAGATACTGACTGAAAATCGGGTGCGCTCCTTCAACAGGGCAGGTAACAGCAGCCTTCCTCTACCTGCTCCTCCTGTTCACGTACAGGAAAACTCCTCTACAACCCACCGCCAAGTTATCGTTTAAAGAGGTTTCATAAGACAATATTTATTCACAACATTATAATTTGAATTAATTATTATTGGGTTTCCAGGAATGAGTCTAGTTACATGTAGCACCTAGGTGAAGTCTGAGATTTTAGAATTCGTCCTTGCACAGGGCTCAGGATGTTCTGGAAGGCGGGTCCCGTTTACGCATTCAGAAATCCTCTAGCGCTAGGTCATCCAACAAAACGTTCTTACTTACAGACATGGGCAGTGAGTGAGCAGAAAAGAGAATGACCACCTCACTCCTCTTCTCAGGTGGAAAGTGGTCCAATTCTTTCACGATGTGGTCTGCAAAGCACTGCGGGAACAGCAAGAAAGGAGGGTCAGAAGGAGTTGGGAAGAAAGAAATGGAAGGAAAAGAAAATATTTTTAAAATGAGAGGTACGACAAGAAATTTCATGGCAACCCTCAAAAACTGGAACTCTCTTTTTAAAAAATTGCCAACAGTACAGTCTCCTCTTGCCGTGGTTCATCATCAAAATGGCTCATAACGGTTTCAGGGGCCTAGGGAATTTGATGGGAAACTTCTAAAGCTCGCTAATGGCTCACTGAAAATGAACGCTCTGGATCTGCTTCCCCTCGGGAGGAACAGGGCACACTTCCAGATGGAAAGGAAACACAGATGGGAAGAAGTTGTTTTAAGATCTCTCATTTGCTCGGTTAGCAGGAAAACAGCTTACGGGGTCTTTCTAAATCTTCCTTAGTTTGGCTTTCAGGCCTATCACATTAAAACACATTAGACAGAAATAGTAGAGGAATAAGAAAATACTATTCTATTTTTATGACCTTTTCCTTCTGAGCCCAGCATCCTCGCTAAGCCAATCTTCATAACAACCTTCATAACAACAGACGAGAGGTTGTACAACTCTCATTAAATTCACAGAGGGGGGAAGAGGTGGCCGACGTGGGGGCCCATTCAGTCACATCTGCGGGACCTGGGCTACAAGGCAGGCCCGCCTCCGCCTCCAAATCTCTGTCCACCAGACCAGTTAATTCCCTCCATCTAGTTGGCTCTTTCCGATTTACATCAATAGGTGCTGAAATACCCGATCTGAAGAGGCTTTCTTTCATCTCGTGCTTTAATCATTCCTTGTCATTTAACTCATAAAGCAAATGCTACAAAGGACGTTAATGGGTCAATTGACAAAACTGGAATATGAGTGCAGATTAGATAAATTTAAGTATCAATGTTAAACTTACTGAGGCTGAATATTGTGTCACAGTTACAGAAGAGACTATTCCTGCTATTTCGATGGAAAGGGTGATTTTATAGATATAAGTTACTCTCAAAAGGTTCGGGGAAAAAACACGTATATATGCACACACATGCACACACACAGAGGATGCAAATGCTGGCGAGTGGAATAAGTGCTAATAATACGTGAATCTAGGCAAAGAGTAGAGTCCTGTACTATACTTAGTCCTGTAACTTTTCTGCACGTGTAAACTGATTTCCAAATACAACGGTTTTTAAAAAATTATAAAGGATGATTTACCAGGACCACGTACATTTGCCTGTGTTGGTATTTTTTTTTTTTTAATACTTTTTTTTTTTTTTTCAACGTTTATTTATATTTGGGACAGAGAGAGACAGAGCATGAACGGGGGAGG